GGGGTGCATGATTCTATAGTTGCTGATGTCCAGAACAGTAAACTTGGGCCTGGTAATGGATTACCCAAGCAAAATTCACAGAAATAACACTACTTTTGCTTCCATATTTGCATTAAACAGAACATTTTATTGAGAATTTATGTCCAACTAAGGGAGAGGAGGATACTGTTTTATCTTTTGCATCACCTTTTATTAGTAATTTTGAATATTAACACCATTTTTCACGAGTCCCATTAATAAATAGCCAAATATGATCCTCTAAATAAAATGCTTAAGCTTGCACGGAATGGGAATAGAAACAGTAGATAGAAAACTTTATAAGAGAATTTGAAATGGAACAAAAAATATAAATGGCTAAACAAACAACTCTTTTCCCCTTTATATCAACAATGAGAGTTACAGCTCGGTATACAACCCCCTTATATGGGGCAAGGCCTACGCATTAAATTGGGCGTGGGCATTTTCTCTCATGTGAGGGAAGTGTACAAGGGGTGAAATCCTTATTGAAAAGGAAATGCAGCTAGTAATTGAGGAGTTAAAACCAACAATTTAATTCATTTCAATTGGATCGTGGAACTTTAAATTAGTTTCGATTTAATCATTAACTTCAATTTTGTTTCAATTTGTTTACTGAACTTCAATTTTAATTTAAAGTTCACCAACCACTCCTAGTCCTCCAAATATTAATGAAGATTGCTTAATCGATAACTATAATGCATCAGTTTTTCGTATAATCATTGTGTAGTATGATGACTTTCAGCAGCATCACAAATGTTTTAACATTAAAAAAATAAAAATTTTCATATAGAAACATTATCATAAATTTCATTTTACTATTTTTCATTTCCATAGTGTTAGGCGATTATGTGAAAGATCAATTGTGATATGCTTTTCAATTAGTAATTTCAATCAATGGACAACAGGTGATGAAATGAGATCGAGAGGTAGAATTTGAAGCTAAATTGAAGCTCAATGACCCTATCGAGATAAATTAAGATTTAACAACTCAATCGAGATTTTTTTGAAAGTCTAGTGATTGGGAATAAAATTTACCCCACTAAATGCAATAGGGCAAAAATTGAAGCCCCTTTAGAAAAACATTGTTGGGTGTATCATATATGGGACAGGGCGAACGAAATTG